CGATATATATACATTTTTATCCTAATTTAATCCTATAATCAGAAGAGGTCTCTCTAACGTGAATGTTATAGCGTTTCTTGCAAGAACATCCTTTATTAGAGCTTTTGAAGAACTTTGAACCAAAGTCAACCAGCATAGAAAACTATCTAGCCAAAAGAGCTGTTTAACACAACCATCTTGTACAAACCATCAGCAAACTTTTTCTCTTGTAAAAGAAAAAAAAAAGATATAAGGAGCATTTTGACATTTTATAAATCGTCTTTAACTTTTACTATCAATAATTCAAAGTCATAGGAGAAGGAAAAAAGATATAAGAAACATTTTGACATTTTATGAATCGTCTTTAGCTTTTACTATCAAGAATTTAAATTCTATTGGAGATAAGTTCAAGCTAAGAAATTTAAAAAAGGATCAACTTATACTCAATTATCCTCTACGTTACAAATTTGAACTTAAATAATCAATCAAGTTATTGATTCTTCTCTAGTTCAAAATCTCAATACACTATTTTCTAAATATAATTTTAAATTCTTGCAATATAGGTATTATGATTTGAAAAAGATCAAATCATAATTTAATCAAATATAAACTGTAAATTAATAAAAGTATTAAAATATGACTTTACTTATATTAAAGAATAATAATATACTTTACAATTTTTTTATTAATATTTCTAGATAATTTATTTCTTTATCTTTAATTGTAAAATTGATAGTAGAATTATGGATATACAAAATGAACTCACCGGTCCCTACATGCGCACCCTTTAAAATTAAATAGTTTAAATATTATTTTAGTCTTGTTACAAAATCAATTTTTATAATTTGATTCTTATAAAAGAAAAAAAGTCGTAAAGAAGTCTTTAAATAAAATATTTTCAAAATAGTCTCTAACGTTAACTTATGTTACAAAACTATTATATCATATTTACATATTTTTTATTTTAATCTCTATATATAATATATTTTTTCATTCTAGTCCTTATATATAACAAAATTTTTATTTAGTACTTATATAAAAAATAAATTATAAGAATATATATATAAATATATATATTTAAGGAATAAAATATATATATATATACATAAAAGTAAAAAAAAAAAAAAAAAAAAAGAAACTGTTATGATGATTCATGATAGATTATAAAAGATGATTTAATGATTTTAAAAAATATTACTGTAGCTTAATATGATTATCGAAACTGTTATGAGAAAATAATTTTTAAAATTTAGATAAAAAATATTTTACTTTTATTTATTTTTAAATATAGCATAGAAAAATGTGAAATGATTTAAAAATATTAAAGTCGTCTTTTTATTTGAAAATGCATTCAAAATTCCCTCAAAGTATAATACTAAAATATTTTTCACTAACATGGTAACTCCTCAACACAATTTCCATTACCACATTACTGTATGGTTATATTATTTAAAGTTATTTAATTATTTTATAATTCACCATCACTATAATTTCTTTAAATTTTAATCAACAGTAAATCTTATTTTACAGATTGTCACACTTATTTTTAGTCCTTATCCATGACAAGTTATTCTATTTTGATTCTCGTTAACCACTTTAAACAGACGACCTTTACTTCCTCCGTTCCCACTAAAAATTTTAACCGCAAAAGTCAAACCAAGTCAAAATGGACTTTCTTTCCCGTATAGCTTGCGTGTGCATTTCAAAATGGATTTTCCGCAGCAAATCAAGATTCTGGTGAAGAGGAAGTAGAAAATGGGCGGTAAAGGCTGGAGTGCTTGATGATGCGGCGCATTCATGAAGACATTAGAACAAAATGTAATGAAGTTTAAGAGACCTAAGATTCAAAGGGTTCCAGATTATATGGGAGGACAGGTAGAGTTTAATAGATTCTAATTGCCCAATCTCATTTCCATTGGTCCAATTCATTTTTCTAAAAGACACCCGCCAAACCTACGATGCTTTATTGAATAGAATTTTCGATTACCTATTCGATATTGCGTTGAACTCATACGCGCCAGGCTTATGGTCCACGGTTCACCCTTCGATTGACTGTAGCAGGTATTGGGAACCTTTATGTTGATGGAGGATGAGTGTTCTGTACTTCAAGTGTTGGTCTGTAGATTCTGATAATCCAGAAAAATATCACTGACAAGTTGGTGCGAGTGCATCCCTACCAATTGCTCAAGCTCATATGTGACTAGGGTAGTGCAAAGCTAAAGAGATGTATGCGCAATTTCCTTATAATCCATGGTATTGGGGAGGCATCCAGAAGAAATGATGGTGACTGTGATGAGGAGCACAATATGACAATAGTCCAAGACCATGAAGAAGAGGAACCATCTCATCTTTTAGACTATTTGTGGAGGGCACTCCTTAGAAGGGACAAAACGCAAATCCACAAAGAAATCAAATTAAAACCAAAGAAGCGGAAATCTCTGCATCTCAGAAAATACAGGATTGGGACCACACGGGAACTTAAGGCATCAGGGATTGGAGTAACCAAAAGTCCCAATAGCACCTCTTTCTACCCCATTTTCACTACTGATGGAAAACTACAACTTCCCTGTGAATGGTTCTAACAGCTTTTATCTGATAGCGTACGAGATGTGCCCAGACTTTGACAACAACTTCGAGATCAGTTCATTCATAGTGTTTAAAAATAAATAAAAGTAAAATATTTTTTATCAGTGAAGGAGTTAAGGAGTGCTGGCATACTTCGCAACGAATTTATCAGTGATAAAGAGGTGGCAGATCTCTTTAATAAGATGGATGTGGTGTTGGTGCCCAAGAGGGATGCATATGCTCGAATCAGAGACCAAATTGAAGAGCATTTTGTGTCGAGGGCGTGGCGAGATCAAAATGTTGGGTTGGATGGGAGAGACTTACAATAGCTACTTCCGGTCACCATGGACCGTCATTGCTCGTTGGCTGCCATTCTTGGTCTTACGCTCACTTTTATCCAGACCTAGTATGCCATCCACCCTAAAGGTTCCTAATCCTAAAGCAATCCAAACAAGCTCATTTATTAACTGTCGTATGTGATTGATCTGGTGTATGATATGCATTGAGTTGTTATGTGAACTTAAGTTGTTATTTATGGAGGGCTTGACTGTGATTTTTCCACGTTCCCATGATGTTAAAACTGTTAATTTCCTGTTCCTTACCTGGGTGTATCGTCATGTTGTAAATTTCTCAAAACTCCCATGGTTACCTAATCAATAACAAGTTATCCTTTTGTCAATTTTGATTGCTTTGACTAACTTGAAGTTTTTGACAGAATAAGTTGTCACGTTCGTTTATTGAATTGATAGTGAAACTCCCAAGTTAATATTGAATCTGTTTTGTCAAATATAACCGTTCTGTTTCCTTTTTTGAAAAAAAAAATTTCTTAACAGCATTTGTCATCATTTTTCACAACATAATTTTTCAGAAAGTAGAGTTTTGCTTTGTTTTTAATGAAGACATAATGAATTGTATTGTTAAGTTTATAATGAGTTATCTTATCCTCACTCAAATAATTCTGCACCACTTTGCGTCACTCATCTTATCTCACCTTTTTCTCTCCCCTTTTTATCTCTTTCCTTGTAGTAAAAAGTACTTGGCGAAGGTGTTAAAATATACTCTCTCTGTCTTTTGTAGTATGTTATATAACATTTACTAGTTCTTGTCACCCAAAAAACTGGTCAATTTCGTTTCAATCATCACATACTCAAAGAGATGTGCACAAGGGAGAGATGGAGTGGTGAGATAGAAGTTCTGCAGTAGGCAAGGGTGTTAAGATATCCTTCTTTGATATAAATAGAGTCAGAATATTCTTTATAAGAACTAAGATAATTCTTTTTTTATGAGCTAGTTAGCTTTTGAGAGTAAGTTAAACTCAAATTTGTTAACATAATATCAAAACTTATTCGGTTTAAATGTTGAGTTACCTACATATATTCAGTTTTGTTAGAGTTCTGCAAATTTTAAGCACCATATATCTAATTTTGAGCGTAAAAAAGATGTGTTAAAATATCACGTATTGGTAGGAATAGAGTTAAAATATTTTTTATAAGAATTAGAATAATCCTCGTCCAATCAGCTAGTTTTAGAGTAAGTTAGACCCAAGTTTTCATTTAGGTTTGCTTCAAAATGCGTGTTTGGGGGTGAGCTTATCTTGACAGACATATGGGTGGGCTATTAAAAGACGTGTGTGGCTTGGGATTGTGTTCATGCTCAATGACGTGTGGGGGTAAAAGTTTTTGGTACGGAGGTGCAAATCAGTGAGGGTGAATAGACGAGGTGCAGGCTGTTTGTGTTAGGCAGTGGGATCACAGTCAGACCGAACAATAGAAAAGGCAACAACTATTATTTCAGATCAATCATAAACATTGGCAGAGGGTGCAAAAGTTACAAAATAACTACAAGAAATTTTACTAAATCTACGTAATCATCGTAAAGAAAGAAGCAATACATGGTGTTTAGTTGAAAACGCACGCCTGTGCTCCACCAATGAAAAAGAAAGCTTCTCTCGGGAGTATTACGTGCCAATGGTTCTTTGTCTGCATCTTCTGTCTACCTCCTACCCCCTCCGTAAGAATGCACACATTATCTGCGTAACTTCCATCTTCCTATGGCCAAATACCATATGAGATAACAGCAATAAGTTGAGATAATGGAACTCAAGAGGGTAAGATTGCAGCTGGGTGATTGAAATGGGTGATGGACATTTGTTTCTAACATTTTCTTTTTTTGATTACTAACATTATTTGATCACACATATTAAACCATTTAATTTTTAACATACATTAAAGATTTTTTTATAAAAGCAAAATCGTTCATGTATGTATAAAAAATAATAATAATTTTGAGCCGACATGTGTTTCTCGATGATTTACTCGCTACCACACAAATTAGGTCAACTTACCCTACCTTTTAAAGCAAGCAGCGAGTTTCCCACCAAGACTTTAAGTTGGAAGTCAAATACAGTCTTGCTTAGAAGCATACCTGTCTCGTTCGCGTGTGTTAAGTGCTGGAAAATGATGCCTGAAGCTGCAGATTTTGATGAAGCTCAAAGCCGTTGGGAACAAACAGTAAGACTACTAAAACACCCGGAAGACATTAGCATGATAATCGATGAAGAGTCCAAGCCCATGATTCAAAGGGTTCCAGGAAATTTGAGAGGACGGGTAGAGTTGGAAAAGTTCTACTTGCCCAACCTCATTTCAATCGGTCCAATTCATTTTTTAAAACCTTACGTGAAGCGAGGTGAGTTATACAAGGTCGTGTGGACAGCAATGTATCTCAACAACACCAATCAAACCTACGATTATTTATGTGAAATAATTCGTAATTCATTTCACGAACATCTTGCGGGCTTGTTCACAGAAGAATGTTGGAAATATGATGATGCCCACGACTTACGGCGCTCCCTGCACGTGGAAGAAATGTTGGTAGTGGATGGATGTTCAGTGCTTCACGTGTTGGACAAATCTGTGGATTCTGATTATCCAGATAAAGAACTCAAGGTTAACGTTGACCAGCTTGTGCGGGTGCATCATGATCTGCTCCTCTTGGAGAACCAAATTCCTTACCAAGTGCTCAAGCTGTTATGCAACGACAAATCGAGGCGAAAGAGATGCATGCACAATTTCCTTTTGGTGCATGGTATTGGGCAGGCATCGAAAAGAAATGGTGGAGAAATGTCACAAGAGCACTATATAACAGTCCAAGAGAATGAACAAGACGAAGAGGAACCAGTTCATCTTTTAGACTATTTAAGGAGGGCCCTTTTGAGAAGGGACCGAAACCAAGTGAATAAGGAAATAAAGATGAAGCAAAAATGCCTGCACCTTAGAAAATACAGGATCGGGACCGTACGTGAGCTCAAGGTAGCAGGGATTCGAATAACTAAATGTTCCAATTCTTTCAGCCCCTGCTTCATTGATGGAAAACTACAACTTCCTGATATCGTTGTGGATGGTTCAACAGCTCTTATTAGCTTGAACCTTATAGCGTATGAGATGTGCCCGGACTTTGGGAATAACTTTGAGATCACCTCACTCATAGTGTTTCTAAGCTCTCTCATTGAGCAACCAGAGGACGTGAAGGAGCTAAGGCGTGCGGGTGTACTTTGTAACCAACTTGCCAGTGATAAAGAGGTGGCGGATCTGTTTAACAGGATGGATGTGCTGGTGGTGCCCGAGACTGCTACATTTGCTCTCATCAGAGACCACATTGAAGCGCATTGTAAGACCAAACGTCGCAAGATCAAAGTCTTGCGTTGGATGGGAGAGGCTTCCCATAACTACTTTCGATCACCTTGGACCATTATTGCCTTGTTGGCAGCCATGCTTGGTCTTACTCTCACATTTATTCAAACCTGGTACACTATCCGCTGTAAAGGTTCTTAACTACATAAATTTTGGTATCTGGTTGGATCACTCATTGATTTTTTATGTGAGTTGTTACATAAACTTATGTTGTATCTAAATCCTATCCTGTTTGGCCGTTAGTTCCTGTTTTATAGCTTGAATGTGATTCCACTGTGACCTAAGTTCTCGTGATGTCAAAATTGTTAGCTATTTGTGCTATTCAGTTTCCAAGTTTGATTCCTGAAATTGGAGTGTCATCGTGTGGCTGAGAGATTGTATGCCTGGCTCCTAGATTTCTTATAAGACTCCATGATTTCCCATTCTTCAACAAATTATCAGTTTGACAATTTTGAATACTTTGGCTTATTGACGGATCTACTCATTCATAATTAATTGGTATCACTTCCAATTTGATCATTCAATTTGCATTAATTAACATTGTCAAATAATCATTGTGTATTAAATATATATAGATTTCTTTGTTCCAACATTTATTGTTATTTTCTGTAACATATTTCTAATAACAAATCATATTGTTAATTTATATCAGAGGATTTCTTGGTACACGATATCAGAAGTTTTACACAATATGCTGTATTACATTTACTTGTTTCTTGTCACCTAAAGTTCAATTTGGTTACTATCTTCATATACGGGTGTCATCGGTTGCAAGGACTTGGTTATGTGCTGGGCTAAATGATGAAAACTTGAAGTAGGTGTAGTTTGGAGTTGATCTTTGTTGGTTAAATGGAATGGATGAGTGGTCTTATCCAATTACTGCTATGGGTTCAGGGTACGTGAAAGTGCAAGAAGAACATATAATATCATGATAGGGAGGTGCTAAATGGATTAAATGCTGACTGTTTTGGTCAGTCATTGGGTGACGGTGAGACCAAACGGTAGAAAAGGCAATAACCTCGGACAATTGAACCTTCTCAAATTGTTTCTTTTTAAGAACTAAAAAGATTTGTGCCAAAATAATGGATGACAAGAACAACAAAAGACCTGGACACATAACGGATCTTGAAGTACTATTTCTGCATCCCTTTGACCAAATCCACCCACATTGGGATTACTCGTTAATGGTTGATAAGTTTGATAGATTCTCCTTCTGAAACAAGAAGTTCTGGTCTTGGAGGTATAATATCAATCACTTCAAGTCCATCTGATGCATCCACTATAGTTATTTTTCGTATCTCCTTTTTCTTTTCGTATGATTCTTTTTACTATACCTGCTGCTGTAGCATTATAAACATTATTATTACTCTTGCTCCCGTCGAGATAAATCTGACCTCTTTCCCCTGTTTCCGCCTAAGTATATAGGATATTTTAAAAAATGAACATTTCTCTTAGTAGTGGGATCTGGGGAAAGAATGGGAAAGGTGATTTCATTATATTTCTGACCAGGAACAGGACTCACCACAATAATATTTTTTTTAGGGCGATAGTTTTGAAAAGACAGATTACCTATCTTTACTTTAATCTCAGGTGAAAAACGATCAAGAGGAGCCAATTCAAAAATTTTCGGTAAAATAAGAACAGCCCCCACATTCAAAGCCCCTTTTTTACCATTAACAAAAACTTGTTTCACTTGCATATCATAAGGAATAAACAACTGCTTCAAATACAGTATCAGGAAGTACTGCTTGTGGAACCTTAATATCCACGGACTTATTAGCTAAATGGCAATTGGCACATACAATACGTCCGGTTGCTTCTCGTGGATTTTCATAACCCTGCTATGCAAAAATGGGATATGCATTTGAAATGGGTGCTCGAGTTATTATATATATCATAATTGATATGGAAATGGATGAAGTAATCTCTTCCTTTATCCAAGAAAAAGCATTTCTAGTTTGCATAGTCTAATCATTGATCCTGAAAATTTATACAATAAAATTAGGTAGGTCACTGGCATAGTTTCCTATCCATGATTATGCTATTTACTGAAATTAGTTCCTTAGAATATAGAAAGAATATGGGGGAGGGGGGAAAGAAGGAAAAATAAAAAGTCATATTTTTTTATAATGCTTTAGCTTTTATACAAAAAAGAAAGAAAACAAACTTTAAAATTGTATCAATGGATCAGTTTTTCAATCAGTCATTTATTGAATGATAAATTACTACAAGTGACAGAGATACACAATTTAAATAACAGAAAATCCAATATTTAAAAGCTTTTTTTATTCTTTCATTAACTAATTTATGTATAGGATTCCATCTGACTTATGGTTGGAAACTAATGATTATTTCTTTCTATAAAGATTTTAGATTTGTTCAGAATGATCAAATTATATCTGGTCTTGTTTCCACTTTTTCAGTCATTTTAGATCAAGTATTTCATCTAGAACAAAACAAACACCGCATGCGAAATGACCACAAGATATTTTATTAAATCAATGCAATCATAATCCATAATTCCATTTATTAAAGAAGTATTCGTAGTGTGGTGGAGTTGAGAATGCATACCTGTGCTCCAGCTACCAATGCCAGCTTCAAAGAAAAATTGGCTAAAAGAACACAATTTTCTGGCATCAATGTTAAATCGCGTGTATTCCTCACCAACGTATTTGTCCCAAGCCCAACTGTTGAAGTAAGAACGCTGGGCTCGAACGTACTTGTTCAGCATTGTATTTGTCACAGCTTCTAAATTTGTAAAAGCGGTCTTTATTTAAAAATTTATGTCTAAAATTGCTAATTAGTTTCTTAAAGTTATTATTTCATTATCAAATTTTTTATTATGTTTGTTTTCATAAACAAAATATTTTTAAGAAATAAATTTTCTTAATAAAATTATATTTATTAATCAAAGTTTTATAATGTAAAATAGAAAAACAAGAACTTAATTGAAGCAATAGTAAATTTTTAGATAAAATATGGCCATAAAAAATATAATTTTTTATTGAAATGAAAAAAAAAATTAAGATATCTCACATGAAATTTGTAGTCCTGAACATATTTTTTTAGTAAAATAAAGTAACATTTTAATAAATTTTTATAAACTCATAAGAGGTTGATAAATAAAGTTATAAAATACAAAAATATCAAAAGTTAGTTGAGAGATTATGTTTTTAAAGTATTTATTGTGACATTGATATGTGTAGCAAGTGAAATTAAGAATTAGTAGAAGACTATTTTATTAAGGGGAATGGACCAAGTTATTTTTTTAAAATATTTCAAGTTCAAAATTCTAGTAAAAATAGAAGATCTAAAGGTTTAAGTCACTTTGTCACTTAACAAAAAGAGAAACTATTAAAATTAAATCTTAACTTTTAAAAAACTCGTCAATGAAATTAAAAAAAAATCTAAACTTATTAAAATATTGCTACTTTTATAGGGATAAGATCATGAAATCGAAACTGAAAATTACAAACAAAAGGAAACACATAATTTTTTCAAAATAAATTGTAAATTTTTTAATGGGATTTGTGTAAAAATGATTTGGTAAGTTTGTGTCTATGATAAAATTACTCTTTTTTTTTTTACCACCCATTGGTTATGGATCTTCACTTTTTTATTTTTAAATATAAATTTTAAAATAAAAATTGATCAATAAAATTGTATTTTTACCATTGGATGTATTCTATGATTAAAATTAATTGAAAAAGATATATAAATTATACGTGCTCCAATTGTCTTACTCTTTACATATGTCTTTTGTTATTTTTGTTTTAAATTTTAAAAATTAATGTTGTTACTTAATTTTTTTATTATCTTTTATAAATTTTTATATTTTTTATAAATATATTTTAAGTTTATAAAATTATCTTTATTTTTATATTAAAATTTACTTTTAAAAGTCTTATCTCTTAATTGTTAATATATATTGATTATTATATTTATTGAAAAAATTTGTCACTGTATAATAAATATTGTTTTAAAATAAAAAATATTTTAAAATAATTTAATTTTATTACATTTTTATCATTTTAATGTATATTAGTTATAAAATTAAATTACAATAAATTATTCAAAATAATTTTATTATATATAAATAATTATTTGCAAAATATAAAATTACATTCTTTAATTATTAAATTATATTTATATTTATTGTAAAAATAAAATCGTAAGCCGTTATATAAAACTAGTTTTTTTTTTCTTTTATCTTCTAACTAGAGTAGAATTATGGACAAGGATATGGATGAATTGAATTTTCAAAAAACTAATCTAGATTCATTTAAAATTTAATTATGGATTAGATTTTGAACCAATCTATTTTAATTTTTTTAAATTTATTTAAATTTTTATTTAATTTAAAATTAATTTTAAATCAAGTAAAAGTACACTATAAATATTTTTATATTATTATTAAATTATTATATTAAAAAATATTTAGATTTTATAATAATTAATATAAAATTATATTTGTATATATTTTAATATATTAATAATATAATTTTTATTATTTTATATTATATTAAATTAATATATATTTTACTTTTTATCATCTATTTATCACACAAATTAATTATACAGTTAAATTTTAAAATATTTTAATTTATTTTTTTAATTAATTTAAAATTAATTTTAAAATTTAAATTTAATTTAAAATTTAAATTTAATTTAAAATTTAAATTTAATTTAAAATTATTTTTAAATTTGATTTTTTTAAACTAGTTTGAAATTTAGTTTTACGTTAAATTAGTTTTGAATTCAATTTTAAATTTAATGCTTAAGATAAAACTGATTTTTAATAATTTATAAACTTATTTTTTTAAAATAAAACTAATTTATTATACGCACTATTGCATAAATTTGTGCATTTTAAGACGATTCTAGTAATATTTATTAATTATCTTATATTTTATAAAAGTTTATAAAATATTTATTATTACTTTTAGTTATTTTTAGTAAACAAAATTGATGATAAAAGTTTAAATTAAAATCTATAAAATAAAAATTAATAATATAAATAATAATAAAATTATTATATTATAATATTTTAATTAGTAATTAAAAACATAAAAAAGAAAAAAATCTAAAAGTATTTATTACAATAATTTAAATATTATTTTAATTTTTGTAAAAAAATTTAT